GCGTTCCGGAATGCGTGACGTACGACACGATCCTCCGGGACCCGCTAGGCAGGCAAGCCGGGGGCAACAACCCCGCGCGGGGTCGAAGTCGAGGCCCACGACGACGGCCACCTCGGCGGCGTCAGCGACTACCGCGGTGCCCAGCGAGGACGGACGGCGTCCTCCTCGGGGTGACACTATCGCGAGCCCCGCGTCGGACGACGAGGGCCTTTTTGCTTTCACCAGAATAGTATAGTTTCCATGAATGAATCGCATACCAGGGGGCGTGGCGCGGCGAGGCAGCAGCCGATGCGCTCCGGCGTCGAATTGTAGCACCTCGGACCGTTCGGACGGACGATAGACGCACCCAATGAATGAATCCATGAACGAACGAATGAATGAATGAATCCCTGAATGACTCCCCGAGCTCGGCCGCGCTGCAGGGGCGCGTCATTGTGCAGGGCGTGCGAGGGAGACGGCGGCCCCGGGGCGCGGCATAGGAGAGAGAGAGAGAGAGAGAGAGAGAGAGAGAGAGAGAGAGAGAGAGAGAGAGTGAGAGAGAGCACGCAAAGGGTCCACCTAATAAGCACGGCGCGGCCCTCCTTTGTCAGGTGACGCGTGTCCGAGGCCTTAATATCGGTCTCGTCTCCCCGAGGTCTCCCCCCGCCCCTAATGCCCCCAGCACGTGTTCGCACACCGGGCGGAGCCCGGCGGCGGGGCCCTATATGCCCTCCTCGCGCGCCCGAAAAGCCCAGCCAGCCGTGTCATTGGAGATGTTTTTATAAAGAAATCTGACAAATTCCACGAGCCGTCCTCCTCCTCCTCCTCCCTCGCCACGCCCCGCGCGCCTCGGATGCCCTCTGCTAATGTGACAGCCTGCGCCACCGCTTTCAACCCCCGCGCATGCAGCCACTCCATCTGCCAAGATGCTCCCCCCCTCCCCCTAACTCCGTCCAGTGGCTCTCCACCCCACCCTCCGGCCACCTCACGTCGTCCACCGTGTACTCCCAGGCACGCCGGAAGGACACCTCATGGCACTAAACAGAGTCGACCGGATTAGGCAGACTGCCGTATGTGGACGGGCTGGCCAGGCCAGATCCGGCCGAAGCAGGAGAGAAACCCAACTGCACCAATGTCCCGTCGTAAAGTGTAATAGTAGTGGAGGCGGGGGGTGCGGCTGGCTGCGCCGGCGGGGCGCTCGGGGGCCGCCCTGGAGGTAGGCAACACAGCCGACACCCGGGCGGCGCGCGCTGCCCGTGCAGCCGAATAAACACCAGGCAAACGTATGAGGGCGATTCGGTCGCATTTACTTTCGTTGCGACAATAAAGCAAAAGTTTTCCCCCCCCCCCTCCTCTTTTCCTCTCCAGCCCTCCCCCCGCACAGCTGCCGGCCGGGATCGCTCGCTCGCCGCGCGCCGCCCAGCAGAGAGAACCCCGGGCCAAGAATAACAAACACAAAGTAAAGGCGATCACACGACAAATGATTCGGCGGGAGCAACAGACACGATTATTCACCCCCAAACAAAACACGGCGCGTCACTTTGTGTGTCACTTGGCGCGTCACTTACGGGGGAAATCGGGCGGAAAACGACAAAAACGGAAACGAGAGACGCGGCCGGCCGACGGCCGGGTCATGAAGTCATGCGTGAGGAGTACGCGGTCCTCTGGACATCTGTTACAGTTGCTGCATTTCCTCGGAATCAAAAGTCAACTGAATCGTCCGTTATCAGAGTCCACATTTTTTCTTAAAAAATATAAACATATAATATTGACGAAGGATTACAAGGGATTAGAGAAATTCCGCGTTGCGTCCTTCTATGCTGCTACACCTTTTATGCCCGGCCCACAACTCGCATCATATCGTTTGAGATACTAAGTGATTCAGGCGCTGTGCATCCGCGCACCGCGTCCCCGCTTGTTGAAAAAGAGCATCGTAAGCGTCTTTTAATTCTCCCAAGAGTTGAGGGGAAGAGGGGGGAGGGGGGAAGGGCATCCGGTCAACACAACCCCGGGGCAGCGACACCCATGTGCGAGCCGCTGCCAAATTTACAATACGTTACACAAAACGAATCATCGTATCAGATAGGGAGGGGGGAAAAGGGGGGGGGGGTGACGCGTCTGTACGAGAAGGGGAGGAGAGGAGGCTGGAGAGAGATGCAGCAGCAAGGGGGAAAGGGGATAGGACTTCGTCGAACCACAAATCAGGTCCACCCTTTCGGTCGGCATTGGCTTCTCTCTCGTCAACGACGTCAGCTTTGACAAAACGGTGCCGTTTAAAAAGATTGAAGGGTTCTCCAACAACCCAAACCCTACCGCGCCAATGTGAAAGAGGAGGGAAGAGAGTGAGAGAGAGGAAAGGAGGGGAGAGAGGAAGGGGAGGGGCGACGGTGAGTGTGCTCACACCATTTCACAAACAACCCCACCTCATTCATAGGTGCGAGCGCAACCCTAATTCAGAAGGACGACGGCCTGTTTCGCTCTCGCTCCCTCCTCGCTTGTTACCATTAAGTGCGAGAAGGAGAGCGACTTTTTTTTCAGGTGTCCCACTCTTTTGTATCAGACTCATCTTTTGAAATTGGAGTCAACTTAAAAGCGGTTCACTGGATTGCTCCACTTGGCGGGCCAAAGGACAAACTTTGAGAGGGAAAAAGAGCAGAGTATGGAATCGATGGAATCGAAAAGGGGTGCAGAAGGGGGGGGGGGGGGGGGGGCGAGTGTGTGCAAAGGGCTTCAAGGCACGATTCCACCATGCGAATTATGTGGAATTTATTGCCACCAATTTTTCGCTGCAACCTAGTTGCGGACAACACACTGCAATTTATTTCTGTGCGAATGTGACTCTGGCTTATCACGAGCAATAACCGTAAATCGGTGGCACATCCCCGACGATTTGCGTAAAATCAATCAATAAATCCGCCATATTCTCGCAGCGATTCTTCCACTTCGGTGGGTGCTGTCGCCGAATCTCTTTGAAAACAGCAAAACGCCGGCTCCGCAATTGTAATGATACTAATAATAATTTTGTCCTCAATGAGGTGGAAACTGCGTGAGAAATCAAACGGTACACAACCCCCGTGTACACCGTCGAAAATCGGAGGGCCACACGTGTGACGGGAGAAATTGCTGAAAAATCACACACGACGAACACGCCTGTCACGGACATTTCCTGCGGGCATTTTCATACAATCCCCATTAATTTCCGCTCGACGGAGAATGAAGCCGACATATTGCGGGACTCCATCGCCAATGCGCGACACGTTATCAACAGCTATATTTAACGCGCGAATCATCCGCCACGCTTTGAACCGTTCGCCCGGCGCTCATTTGTCCCGGTTGCCAGTCACAGGAGGCGCTGCGAGCAAGCCTCTCCCTCTGCGCTGGGGGCGGAGTGTCGCGTAAGTGCGACTTGGGCAGGCGCGGGCGTAACTTGAAATAACTTGTTCCTCGGCTGGTCCATTGTACGCGACTGCCCTTTACAAGAAAAAGAGGGTAATATTTCGTATTCGATAGAGACGTGTATTTTGTCATGAATCGGTCATATGAACCGCGGAAAGAAAATAATGGTCTGTGAATGACGAATCGAAACGCAGAAATAATATCGTTTGCAGCCACTTGCGCCACTTGATTAGGAAGAGACAGTCTTCAAAAAAACAGTATTTTGCAGCCCAAAACATTAAACAACCACCTGAGACTTACTGAGCCTGACTGAATCCAGCAGTATCTGTGAGTCGTTAGTATTTTCTACTTCATTTACTGATACCCATTCTAACTTCAGATTCTCAAATTAGTCGGAAA